AGATCGTGATCCACGTTTTCAATCTCGATTTTGGCAAAAATTGCAGGAAGCCTTTGGTACTCAGTTGCATATGAGTACTGCATTCCATCCTATGACTGATGGTCAGTCAGAAAGAACTATCCGTATTCTGGAAGATATGCTAAGAGCTTGTGCTATGGAATTTCAAGGGAGTTGGGAAGACCACTTGGATTTAGTGGAATTTTCATATAATAATAGCCATCAAGCAAGTATCGGAATGGCTCCTTTTGAAGCTCTTTATGGTCGAAAATGCAGAACTCCTTTGAGTTGGGACGATATGAGTGATCGACTGATACTGGGTCCGGAAATGATTGAGGAATCGAAAAATAAGATTCGAATTATCAGAGAAAAGATGAAGGCAGCTCAAGATCGTCAAAAGAGTTATGCCGATAGAGCCCGACGTGAGGGTCAATTTCAAAGTGGAGATTTTGTCTTATTGAAAGTATCCCCAATGAAAGGTATTAGAAGGTTTGGGATTAAAGGAAAATTGAGTCCGCGTTATGTTGGACCTTATGAAATTGTCGATCGAGTTGGTGATTGGGCCTATCGGTTGGCACTTCCAAATTCTATGGAGCGTATCCATAATGTGTTTCATATATCTCAGCTTCGTAGGTATGTTGCAGATCCTTCTCATATTTTATCTCCAGATGAGATAGAGCTGAATGAAGATCTTTCGTATGAAGAAAAGCCTCTGTGGATCATGGACACAAAGGTCCGAACCATGAGGAATCGAGATATTCGTATGGTGAAAGTAATGTGGTCCAGACATGGAGCGGAAGAGGCCACGTGGGAAGTAGAACAAGAAATGTTCAAGGCATACCCACAATTGTTTAATTAAGTTGCCTTGTTATGTGTTTGAGTTTAGATTTCGGGGACGAAATCTTTTTAAGGGGGAGTGGATTGTAATGCCCCGATTTCGGAATGTATAAAATAATATTATTATAGCAAATAAATATTTGACAATAGTAATGGAATCAAGAAATTAATATTTTGGGATAAATTATATTCCAATTTTGTATATTAATTATAATTAAATAGACTGTTAAATGGATAAATATCGATAAATATAAATATAAAATATATAATAATAATATAATAATAAAAGTAATGATGATGAAGATAATATTTATAATAATAATAATAATAATAACGCTAATAATAATAATATAATATAATATAATATAATATAATGTATATAATATATATATATAATAATATAATTATATATATAAAACAAGCAAACTTACCTGCGAAGCGAAGGAAGGCAGAGGAAGAAACGTGAAGGAGAAGAAAGGAGAAAAAGAAAAGAAGAAAGAAAAAGATTTAGCCATTCGATTTCGATTCCGACTTCGGTATTGTATTCCTTGTTATACGTAGAATTTAATTATGGATTTTAATATGAATTTCAATATTGGGAATATTAAATTAGAAATTCTTCAAAAATTCAAAATTGGCTATTTAGCTATTTAATCGATGAATTTCTTTAGCTAATAGCCTATTCGTAGCGCCGACGTTATATTTTGAGAATTTCGTACCAATCCAAGTCGAATAAAAAACGGCAGTATATTGCACCTGCCTGCTTGTTCATACCTTTGCGTATTTTTATTTAATAATCGGGCAATATAAATATTATGAGGTAGAAGGATTTTATAGCTAGAATATCATATTCTACTAAATATAAAAGTTTGGAGCCCGACGAGTTAATTATAGAAATTAGCTTTTGAATAAGCAGGTAGCTCCTGAGAATAAGCATAAAGCTCATCTGATTTGAGTAAATAATGGGACAGGTGTACGTTGGAGGAGATTTGGGTGAAGTTATAAAATCCAGAAAGTATCGGTAGGAGGTAAGCAGTAGGGAATTAAATCTAATTTTAAGAAATTAGGTATTTATGTTGCATGTGATTCTGATTCTGATATTGATATGATATTATGTGGAATCATTTGGTCAGTGCATCTATATATGTATATATGTGTGTGTATATGCATGTGTGAAACTTCGTTTTACGATATTTGATATACGTATTTGATCGTGTTGGTGAATTTATAAAAAGGAGGATAGGTGGGCCGTCTCACCAGCCCTTTTCATTAAATTCACTTATTGACATGCTGCACACATTGCACGATTTATCGGGTATGTTTTATGGATCTATCGTTTAGTCGCCGTGTGCGGTAGTGCTAGGCGAGGGCATCATCTGGGGTTAGGATATTCGACCCCGATGTACCGTAACACTTTGGCGATAGTGGACGATAGTAGTCGGACAACTGGGTGACTTAGTCGCACGGTCATTCAGGGATTAGACCCATTGCAGTTGAGACGTATTTGGTCTAATCATTCGGGTTCGGTGTTGTTCCACTCATTGGAGTAGCTACTAGTGAGGTCTACCGGTAGTTTAGGATCATATGCCAAACTCCAAACGCGATCCCGTTAGGGCGTGCGAGGAGGAGTAGAGTTTCCGGGTTTCCTTCGGGTGATTCCAGGTTGCACGGATTCTACTACGTTACACGGGGTAGGGCTAGACAGGAGGGTCCTATCTTCGCTATCACAGACTATGGGGTGTCTTGTGGTTAATGGCGACAACGTTCGACTATCCATGTATTGATTGCGGGAGTCGTATGGTGGGTATATGGAAGTGACCGGGTGACCGTTATATTATTATGGGTTTACCAGGTCCTTCCTTGAGCCGAGGATTTTCCGGCTATTTATTGATGATAGTCTAGTGAGCTGTTATTATGGAGCCGAGGTTATTCCGGCTGCTCACTTTGACATATGTATATGGGTATATGTGCATGAGTTGTCGATTTTGACATTATTGTTACATTATTTCAGTATGGGCATGGCATGGCATTTATTTTGCAAATGACGGAAATTAAACTCTATTTTCGAGCATGACATGGCATATTTTATGTTAGTTCTTAAAATGGATTTAATTCTAGACTGCTTTTAAGAAAAATATTTGATTCAGGTACGCATGGCACCTCCGGGACAGGGGACGTCTCGGGAGATAGAAAGACGGGCTGAATGAGTGAACTGCATCTGATGTATTATATGTAAATTCTAACTAGAAAAACCTCCCGTTTTGGGAGTATGTTTTTGTAAATATTTATAAACTTGTTTTTTTGGGAATAATAAAATGCTTATATAATTAATTTTAGCCTTAACACTGTGTTGTGGGGCCCGAAGTAGGAGGTGACGACCTCATGATGCAGTGTGGCGGTAGCATTTCCAGTATGAGCCAACTGGGGGTGTTACACGGGAGCTTCACCTGTTCTCGATCGGATGATGGCCAGGATCACCGAACTTCAAGCTGAACTTCCTCTGTTCCGACCCCCATCATCCGAAGCGACCTCATCTCGTCCGGCCGCAGATCCTAACAACATTGAAGCAGATTTGAAGAAGGCCGACCAGGATCTCAGTATGGCTAGGGCCCGACTGGACGAGCTCCGGCAAGAAAGACATACATTAGCTACTGAAATCTCCCAAAAGACTGAAGAACTACGACGACTTCAAGAACGATTGGAAGCTCTAGATGATAGCATACAGGAAGGAAGTCGTCAGGTTGAAACACATTACCTTAACCAAACCAGTCTTTGCGAACAACTTCAGATAGCTATACAAATGAGACTCGTCCAAAGACATCAAGAAGCATACCAACGTCGTCGGGCCATCAAGTCAGAACTCAAATGGACCGATCTTAAAACTGCTTTACGGGCTCTTCTCTCCATGTAATTCAAATATCATGTACATTGCTTCGGCCTTAAATATATTAATTCCTATTTTTAGAAACTAGATCCTTTCTCTCCTGCGTTTTTACTAAGTCTAACAAGCAAACACAGATCCGTGTTTATTGCCTATTACTAAATTACCTAACTTAGAAACCAGAATATCTATATAAACTCCGTACCTCTAACTCCAAAATATCATCACCATTACTTTTCATGCAATATGGTTTCTCCTCGCCTCCGTGTTCCTCTTTCGAACTAGGAAGGTGCTCTCCAACCATTCATAGTGGGAAAGCACCCCATAGGCCATCATGCTGAAGATATGATACAGGTTCTGAAACAACTGGATTTTAAATTCAGATTCTCCGGCAGAGGTAGGAGAACCATTCATCGTACCATCCGACTGATGGAGCATATATCCACCAGCTACGAACCTTATATCGACATACTCACACGTATATCGGATCTCGACCATCATCTAAACATGATAAACCATCATGTGACCGCCATTCTCCCAGACCTTAGTTGGAACAACGATTTCCAACCACAAAGATCAACACTCTCCAGACTAAGTGTCCTTGCTGAACGAGAGATTCAGTCTTTGCAGGACATGAAGTCCCGAACTGAACAAAATCTTCAAGACATGCAAGACAAATGGGATCGCTACCGCTTGGATTTGGATGATCTTCTGGATGAAGAACCTGAAATGGTCTCGGCCTCGGCAGTCTGGGATGACACCATTAATCATTCTGATGACTAAAGAACCCTTTTATCAATGGGTTCGAACCCTTTAGAGGGTCCTATGATATTTTCCTTTTTAAATAATCAATGACAAAGTTCCGAAAAGGCAGGGTAATACCTTTTCAGATACTTAGCATTAATATTCTCATGTACTGTTTTTCCCTCTTGATTTATGATAATAAAGGCTCCATTTCCAATTACCTTATGAATGATGAAAGGACCTTCCTAGTTGGGAGACCACTTTCCCAATTGATCTACCTTCTTATAGGTCGGAAAAATTGTCTTCCAGACCAGATCGCCTTCTGCAAAGAACTTAGGGACCACCCTTTTTCCGTAATATTTTGCCCTAATCTTACTCTGCCTAATTACTTGGTCCAAAGCGTTCAATTGGTCTGTATCTAACTCTTCCAATTGTCACCACATCATTTGTAAATACACCTCATCAATATAGGCTGTTGTACTGGTCACCCTGGGTGAAGGCACGACAAATTCTGCGGGTAATACTGCATCTTGCCCGAATGTTAATTGGTATGGGGAGAATCCAGTAGAAGTACTTCTACTATTTTGATAAGCCCACAATGCCTGAGATAGCAGAGTATGCCATTTCCTTGGATTCTCCTCCACCAACTTTCGGATAATGCCAATAATGATTTTATTTGCTGCTTCGGCCAATCCATTTGCCTGGGGATAATACGGTGAAGAATGGTGTAATTTGACATTGTATTCGGCCAAAAACTCATAAACATTTCCCCAGTAAACATCAACCCTTGATCGGTTGTGAGAGTGTGAGGAATTCCAAATCGATAGATGATATGATTGAGTACAAATTCGATCACTTCTTTCTGTGTCGCATTCTTCAAATGAACTGCTTCTACCCATTTGGTAAAATAATCAGTCGCCACCAAAATAAAAGAATGTTGTTTCGACGAGGCCGGATGAATTTTTCCAATTACATCCAACGCCCAAGCTTTGAATGGCCAAGGTTTAACCATTGTCTGCAAATCCACTCTTGGCAGATGATGTAAAGGACCATGCTTCTGGCACTCTTGAAATCCCTTGGCAAATCTGATACAATCATCAAAAATCTTCGGCCAATAGAATCCCATACGATGAATGGCCCATCGCATATTTAAACCTGCCCGATGTGCACAACATATTCCTTCATTGACCTCCTCCATTATTTTACTAAATTCCTCAGGTCCCAAACACCTCAACAAAACCCCTTCAAAGGTTCTTTTATATAAAATCCAATCAATAAGCTGAAAACGCAAAGCCTTTAAGCGAACACGAACAGGAGCAGTAGAATTTGGAGATTCCAGATATACCATAATCTCTGTTCTCCAATCAGTCCCAGAATCGAGACTGCCAATCAACTGCTGACAAGCACTCTGAGCCAGATTATCAGCCAACTGATTCTCCGTTCTTGGTACATGCTCAAAAACTACTTCCCCGGTTCTATATAACAAGTGTAGCACTACATCTCGGTATCTACGCAAATGGGGAAAATTACACGCGTACCGTTTCAACACTTGGTTGATAACAAGTTGAGAATCCCCATAGATTAGAACAGACTGCACTCCCTTAGCGATAAGTGCTTCCAGACCCAAAATCAGTGCTTCATATTCTGTAGAATTATGTGTCATATCTTCCATTTGAAGCTGCAAATTAATTTTTCTGCCTCTTGGTCCTTCTAGTATCACTCCCGCTCCCGACTTTCCTTTCGAACGGGAACCATCAAAAAACATTTTCCAAGGACTGGTGCCAATATATGGCATTATTTTGTTCTCTGATGATCCAACGCTTGTAAACTCAGCCAACAAATCAGCCACAACTTGCCCTTTTACAGCCTTGAGAGGTCGGTGGCGTAGTGCAAAAGGAGCCAGCTTAATAGCCCATTTCATTAATCTACCTTGCATGGTCGGTCTGTGCAACATTAGTCTGACCAAATCCATTTGAGAAACCACTTCGGTTTCTCTTGGCAGAATATAATGTTCCAACCGAGTGCTGGCGAAGACTAAAGAATAACACATTTTTTCGGGCATACTGTAATTCAACTCCGGTCCTGCTAAAGTTTTGCTTAAATAATAAATGGCTCTTTCCTTACCATCTTCCCATTCTTGTACCAAGAGACTGCTTACCACATCAAAGCTGTTCGCCAAATATAACCGAAGAGGTCGGTCGCCTCTAGGAGGAACCAACACAGGCGGGTTAACCAATGCCTTCTTGATTTCCTCCAATGCCTTCTGTTGGTCCCGACCCCAAGAAAAATCGGTGGCCTTATTCCGTAATAATTTCGTGATAGGTTTTAATTTCCCTGCGGCGTTTGATATAAAACGCCTTAGGTAATTCACATTTCCCAAAAAACTTTGTACTTCTTTGACTGACTGAGGCGACCGCATTGTTAGAACCGTTTTGGCTTTGTTCGCGTCAATCTCTATTCCTTTTTCATGTACTAAAAACCTCAAGAAATTCCCCGCCGAAACTCCAAAGGCACATTTCGTTGGGTTCATTTTCAGGTTGTACTGCTTCATCCGAATAAAAGGATTTTTTAAATCAACCAAATATGAATCGAAGTCGGTGGACTTAATGATCACATCATCAATATATACCTCCATTGACCGCCCAATAAGATCATGAAAGATAGTGTTCATAGCCCGTTGGTAAGTTGCCCCAGCATTCTTTAAACCGAATGGCATAACTGTCCATTCATAAATTCCCAACGCTCCTGGGCACCTAAATGCAGTTTTGGGTATATCTTCTTTTACTAATGAAATTTGATTATACCCTGCGTATCCATCCATTAAACTCAAAATATGGTGTCCCGCCGCAGAATCAATCAACATGTCTGCTATAGGCATGACATATTCATCTTTTGGAGTGGCGAGATTGAGATCTATGAAGTCGATGCAAATTCGGATCTTTCCATTTTTTTGGTTACCGGAACGATATTGGCTAACCATTCCGCATATCGACATGGACGAATGAAACCAACCTTTAGTAGCTTCTCAATTTCTTCTTTGATCTGGGGCATCAATTCTTGACTCACTCTCCTTGGTGGTTGCTTGTAAGGCTTAAACCCCTTTTTAATAGGCAACCTATGTTCTATTAAACTGCGCGCCAATCCGGGCATTTTGGAATAATCCCATGCCAGACATTCCTTGTGATCTCGAATTAATGCTACCATTCGCTCCTGTTGACTTTCTGTCAGTAAACCACTTACCCTGACCATCTTGGGTATCTGTTTGGTTCCCGCATTATATTCAATGAGAGGGTCCTGACTTGACAGAGAAGTTTCTATCTTTTCTAGGAGATCAGGCCAGCAAAAACCTTCTTCCTCGCCAACATTATTGTTGGAAATTTTATTATTATGTAATCTAACCATTAATTGGTTTAAATAGAACTGTCTAATCAGTTTATCATATTTATTTATTTCTTCCATAAATTAACTTCAAGTAATAGTTTATTTTGGCTAACAACAGAGCCATAAAACAGGAAATTGTTTCTAATGAAACATACAACCCTGCGTAGTGAGCTTACAGCCCTTCCAGGAATACTCATTTATCAAGGTTGTCCGTGAAATCGGTGGTACGTATTCCGTATAAAGAACCGATTCTTCCACTCCTTCTGTAGAGCCGAACGGATTCGTACTGGCTTCCATGGTGAAAACCTGATCTCCTTCCTAAAACATAATTTATTGATGGAGAGAAGAAGGCACACATTTGGAAGCGTGAATCCAATCTCGCCCCAACAAAACTGAGTAGGTAGTATTGGCATCCACAACAAGAAAAACAGTCGAAATCACCTCCGGTCCAACCTCAATGGGCGCCACCATCATCCCTTTTGGCTTGGTCGGTTGTCCTGTGAAGCTTGTCATCTCGATGTCTACCGAAGACAAATCGCCAATCTCTTTGCCCAATTTTCTTAAAGTTTTGAGGGGCATGACATTAAAAACAGCCCCATTATCGATAAAAACCTTGTTAACTGGCTTACCACATATGTGAGCGTTAACATAGAGTGGTTTTAAATACGGGATTGCTCCTTCTGGTAGAGGGGGAAAGACCATAGGTGGGGGTCTGCCAACCATTGCTGCCCATTCTAGTTCTTCCTCCTCCTCAAACTTTGCCCAAATGGGTTCTTCTTCGACGAACCATCGCATATCCGTCATCCTGACTTTGAATCCTGCTTTATCAAGTTTTACTATCTTGCTGCGCAAAACTTTCATTTCTTCTGGGGCAAATGATCCGAAAATAATCTCGGGGGTCTCTTCCTCTGCACTTTCTATTTCAGGATCAATATTGATCCGTTTGCAGAATTGACATCGAAAACATCTAGCCTTCTTGATAGGTTTGTTGCTCTCCCCCTGCTCCTCTGTTTCGTGATTCAAGTCCTTCCTTTTAGGTGATGATTCTTTCTTCTCCTTACCTTTATCTGTTCGCTTTCCATGCCGCGCTGCATACCTGCGTTTAGCATTACGGATTTGTGTGCGATTCATACCTGGAAATCGAGGGTCTATGTCTATTGGCAGAGGCTTTCTGTTTCGGCTCCATTTCTCTAGGACTGGATGTGGTTTGCGTGTTGGCCGGTCCCGTACCATGACTTTATCTTTCAATTCTACTTTGAACGACCCATCTTCTCTCTTCCATTTCTCTGCTACTCTAGTTTCGCAAACTTTGAACTTCACTTCCTGATTGGCTTCCCGTTCTTTAGGCTTGCGTTCTTTTCGTCTGGTGTCTTCTTCATCATCACTTTGCACAACTTGTGAAGACCGCAAAGAGATCATTGCAGTAGTTACTTTTGGGAAGGGTTGATGCTCTACTCCTATTGTTACATATTTGAATCTCCCTGCTTTGATGGCCTTCTGTATTTCCTTTCGGAAATGTGTGCATTGATTAGTGTAATGAGTAAAGGAATTATGCCACTTATAGTATGGCCTTCCCTTTATTTCCTCATTCGTTGCCAAACTTTGCCCTTTAGGAATGCGAATCTGCCCATCCGCCAATAGAATATCGAAGATCTCGTCGGCCTTGGATACATCGAAAGTCGGCTGCTCCCTCTCCCCTGTTCCTGGCAATGGCTTTAGTTTCGAACATACGTACGGTTTGCCATTCACAATTTCGGCTGCCATCTCTTCAAGAATATTTCCTTCTTCTGGCGAATAAATCTCTGTATCAACACTAGCCATTTGCTGTACCCTGTTCCGACGAAAGTTGTGATCTTTTTCTCTAAACAAAGATTCTAATCTTCCTGCTTTGGAGGCCAAACTAGCCAAGTCCTGAACATCATGGGCTGTCAATGCCTCCCGAAGTCTCGAATGCATGTTTCTGACCACCAAATTGGTCATTTCACTTTCCTCGATGATTGTCGGGCATCTGCCTTTCATGAGTCGTATCCGTTCAATAAACTGATATGCGGTCTCTTCTGGCATCTGTCGGATCTCTAAAAGATTTGTGAGTGAGACTGTCGGAAGAGGATTTAAAAATCTTGCATGGAATGCTGCCTCCAGACTTTCCCAGGTTTGCAACTGCCCGGGTGGCAAATTTGCAAACCATGAAAAAATGGTCCTTGTAAGTGATAACCCGAACAATTGTAATTTATAGAAAGAATTATTGCCCACTTCCCCTAATTGGGCCGTGAAACGTCCCACATGCTCTATAGTCGATGCCCCGTCTTCTCCAGAAAATGAATGAAAATCGGGTGGTCTGTAATTCCTTGGAAGCGGATGTTCGTTGATGATTCTTTCTGGAAATGGTCTCTGATACGCAGGTATGTTGACCGTCTGGGGGTTTATTCCAAAATGTACCCTCAAGACCTGAGCAATGTCCTCTGGGTCTACTCTGGGTGGGACAAGATCCAATGCCTGAATAGGATTGTGAGCCTGGCCTCCCAATCTTTCCCCTCTGAGGTCGGTAGGCTCGGTCCTAACACCCAACGGAATGTTATTCGGGTATGTAAGAGGAGTCTTCCCTCTGTCAACCCTTGGGGCAGTAACACTTGGAAAAGTGTTGTCCACATATGAAGGCCCCGAAAATTTGTCTGTAACCTGGATGGTGATAGTTCTGGTGGCGTCTGGATGGGTTGCAAAGTAACCCTTGATAACGCCTGATTTAACGTATTTTGCATAAGATTTTTTTGCTCCCGCAACATTTGTTGCTCGCGCAACATATTCTGCATGGCCAAATTATGCTGGTTGTTCAATTGTTGAACATAAAAAACCCAGTCAGCGGGTGTTTGTGGCATTTCTCCTGTATTTGGCATAACAGGTGGTGAAACCGTTTCTCCCACCAGTGCCGAAGATGATTGAGGCTGTGAGCCTGCCATGTGGATCTTTCCGACGATTCGGCCGGATCTCAATCGTATGAAACTCTCCGTTGACGTAGGATCAGCAATCTTGCCTCGACTCCCACTGTGGTCGCCAAATTGTTGATGCGTTTTTCAACAATAAAAAGTAAAATTCGAAAATAGAGAAATATCCCCGAATTTGATAGATGAGTAACTGAAATTAGAAACCTCTAAACACTGTAGAATACATAAAATAAAATAAGATAAAAATAAAGACTGGAAAATAAAGTGGTGATCCCCAAAAACAATTTTCTTTAATTTGATGTCGATTGAAGATGCCCCCTCTATACAGTACGGAATCTTTAAATAACCCCTTGAAGATACGGTTCGAACCGCTATCCGGTCGGTTACCATAACCGTTGTTAACTCCCCAAAAAGTTCTCTTCTATCGACACGTATGAGAACCGTCCTATCACGTCCGACCTTTGAAAACCGCTCGCCAGTTGAAACTACCCTCCACTATCAGAAACTGCTTTTTACCCGACCTGCAGGATAACTACTTTTACTACCTGACCTTTGAACTTGGTCCGACTTCAATGTTCCGACCTTCTTACGCCCAACTATTGGAATTTGTCCCGACTAGGTCCGACTTCACTATCCGAACTATTTAGTCCCGACCAGGTCCAATCTCATCATCCGTCCGACTTTCTTACATCCGACCCTTGGACTTTGTCCTGACTAGGTCCGACTTTAACATCCGAACTATTTGGTCCCGACCAGGTCCGATCTTATCATCCATCCGACCTTGGAGATTTACCCGACCAGGTTTGATCTTAACATCTGACTCTAAGCTCATCCGACGCGGTTACTGCAATCCTACCTGGACTTTCAAAAGCCCATTAGACGTTTCGAACAACCTAATCTTGGCAGGCCCATTCCCTAAAAACCTATCCATCATTTTTAGTGCTCAACAATATGATAACGTATCTAATGTAAAATACCAATTATAATAAATCACTACAAGAAAATATCAATTTTATAATGAGATTTTTTTCGTCCCTAAATTCACTTTTTCCGTTACTAATGATGTTAGAGACAAAATTAGAAATTAAATTATGTTAATTACGTGAACTTTAGGGACATAATTCCGTTACAAATATACTATTTTTTTTTAGTGAATGTATAAACTATTTATTAATTTTAGTAGCAATAATAACATTTAATAACTGTATAAATGTTTTTTAAATTTTTAAATTCGGAAAACTCTAAACTGTTGCCTACATATTTTCAGTGATATATATATGACTGTATTTCCACATTATTACCATATGAATAA